AAAATTTGAAGTTGCTATTAAATTGTGATGTTTACATTAGAGAAAACACACGCAGATAATGAAATCAACTATTACAACATACTCGATGAAGTAGTTCAGCTACAATATCTGGGTAACGTTGAACGCAATGTCCACATGTTCAACTGTGAGTGGTTTGATTATGTTCCTAATCGAGGAATATGAACACCCAGCCCGTATGATACTACTGAAGTCAAGTTGAACACAAGATGTGCAAAGTTTGATCCATTTCTTTTGGCACGTCGGGCTAGTCAGGTTTATTATTTTTGATATCCTGGTTAAGCAAGGGATAAACTTGATTGAGCCATTGTTATGAAGAATAAACTAAGAAAAATATTTAGATGCAAAATACTATCAAACTTATTTACCAAGAGTTAGGCATGTCTGAGTTTTGTACTCAACTTAGTTCAATCGAAGAAGTGTTTCTTCTAGAGGATACCATGTGGCTTCATGACAAGTCCCTCTAAATATGAATGAAAATGATGAAGAAATTTTAAGTTCATCGTATGATTAGTTTCTGCACCATCTTGCTTATACTTTTGCTTCTCACACTATAGTTGTCATGGTTACTTTTATTAATTTTATGCATAGTCATGACATGTTTCATGTTTTCATTCTATATGTTCTACTTTTACTTTTGTGGTTTATATTACATTCTTTGGTAGTTTTTACTATAGTTGTCCTGCTTACTTTTGTTGATATTAGACACGGTCTTGCTTACTAATTCTGCTAATTTTTTTCCCAACTTCAGATGGCAGGTGCTTAGCCCCTGAAGAGACCTCGTGTTCAAGTGACATTGGAGAACACATACAGAAGACTAAAGAAAGATGTCACTCGCTCTGAGAGGTATGACACTTCTGTCGGCACTTAGATCACTCCTCCCGCTACCTCGCCCACACCTGCTCCCTCACAGACACCAGCTCTCACACCCGCACTGATTTCCCGTCCAGATTCCTCCTATGATTAGTAGGGCCCCCCCGAATCTCGCCCCTCAAATGGGTGACACCTCCAACAAGGTGTATTTATGTCAGAGGGTTACTCGTAAGTTATCTTTATTAAACATTAGAGCAAAGTACAATCTTAATCTTGATTTTTGTTTTAATTAATATTTCAATTTTAGGTTCTTTCCTTACAGGCCATCTATGACACACATCATGGAGAACATCCATAACAAGTTTGATCAGGCATTTCTATCTTGAAAATAGATCCCGATTATGACTCGAAATATGTGGTTCCTGGAGTTCTAGGCATGGTCATTTAATTTCAAATAGAATGATGATTTCTATTTTCATATACTAATCAAACTTACATAATTTCTAATTTGCAAAGGTCTTTTTGCTGGTTGTAGGAGCATCACCAGCAAATCTAGCTGAACTTTAAGGTTCGTGGTAGGCATCAGCTGGGTGACATTTTTATCACAGCACGAAAGAATGATGAGAGGCACAAGTGGGAGGGTGAGGATGTCTGAGCTGATTTGAACAAAGTTTGGACCTCTTTGGAATACCAGAAGAAAAGATAGACTAACCAACAGAATCAGATGATGGACAGAGCTAGAGGGACTACACTCCACATTGGAGGTTCTATCCCTCATAGAAAGCACTACTGAAGATTAGCAAGATTATCACAAAATTCAGAAACTTAAAGATTTATGTGACTGTGTGATAATTCAAAATAAACAGATTGACCGAGATCCATCTACTGCAGAGTTGCATGTCTTGACACATCGGAGCCCAAGCACGCACTAGCGGGGCTCTTACCACTCTCGTCGTGTAAACTTAAGTAAAAAAGTTATGTTTTGCTATTTTATGACTATTAATATTTAAAAAGACAATTAACCTCTAACTTTAAGTATGTAGGAGGAGTACGAGCAGCTTTGGGAGAGGCAAATGGAGACGAAGAGCCATAATTCATTATCCTCCAGGAGCAGTGGTAGCCAGTCTTCCATTGCTCAATCTAATTTTGAGCTATG